TCACAAGGGCTTAGCCTTCAAGAATATTTTTCCCCTACGCGCGATGAGCCCTGGCAAAACACCGCTCGGCTTTCAGGGTTTCGTGGCTCAATACCTGAACACTTTCACGCTAATGTCTGACGACGCTCATCTTGCTTTCCATCCCTGGCTTGGACCCCCCTCTTGTTTCCTTGTTTTTCAACGTGTTTCGCACCAAACACCAGGTATGTACCTTCCCATCCTAGCTCGACAGACGCCCCTCAGGCTGCCCACCCTCGTCACGCCTGGTTTCGTGCCTGGGTCTTCCTGCACCTATCCGCACCGGATTGGCCGAAACGACCTCTCCTCACGAGCAGGATATCTTCGGTCTGGTGCGAGTAGTAGCAGGTGAGGTTCTCGTTGCTTGTTATTCTACATATCTCCTCGTGGCACGCGGAGTTCGTCGTACGTCAAAAGCACGAAGAGGACATTTGCGTGTGGAATTTCGATATGGGCGGCCCCGGTCATCGCAGAGAAAAAGGAGCTGACCTCCCTCGTGCTCATTGGATCATGGCGTTGCTCTAGGCAGAGTGCCAGAAAAGCGTCAGAGTAATGGTTTGCACAGATCTATCCGCGATCAAAGTCTTTGCTCACGGCAAAACTCCGGCAAAATGACGAGGCTATTCAGATCCTCGGCCCTCTTGGGTATCGTGGAACTATTGCTGCAGTTACTACCAGCCAGGTCGCACACGACGACACTAGACTAACCAAACAACACCAAATCACAAAACATTGTCTACCGTTGAGAAACAAGTGGCCCCGCAGAGAAAAACAAATAGAAGCACACGGTTGTACGACGCCAACAAAACCAGAGAAATAACTCCCGCAACGATCGAAGACAGGATATTCCTGTCGATTGTTTGAGGCCAGTGTGAGCAAGCCATTTACCCAGATAAGGCGAGCGACTCATGAGCAAACTGTCGAGACGGCCCGGGACCAACGCAAGCCGCAAGGTCGGAATGCGGGAAACAGGGAAATATTTTGAAAAATGCGATCGGGGAACCAGAACGCGGAAAACATAATAATGTGCTGAGCCGGTCACTTGGCCTCGTCGAATGGATGGCAAAATATGTGATCTGCCTGAACAATGCACCTAGATCTTCGATCACGAAGGTGGCGCGAAGTCCGTCCGTGATCCACCCGGGAAAGAGGGAATAATCTCCTGTTACATTTCCTGTTCTCGCAGTCTGTACTGCCTATCTTTGGGCATCCGGAGAAATGTTCTAATGCGGTATTGGCTAGCAGTGCCGTCGAAAGGAACCCATAACATTTGGCCATTGACTACTGTGCTGCACGCGGGTGTCCTCGATGTTACTGTGTTGGCATGCCGAGGGCTTCATGGCGATGCACTAACTCCTTCACTGCTTCAGAGCTAGCTAGTCAAGGTCCAAGCAGGTGGTGTGTTCGGCGAGGTGTGCTACGTCGTGCAATGTATGCTGCAGCTGGCGTGAAAACACCAAAATTCTGAACCATTGTCGTTTCATGCCCGCATTGTCATGCGTACATTGTCACATTCCAACATCTTAACCCTCGTACGTCCCTACCAACACTTCCAGAGCCATGTGGTCTCTGATACGGCAACTTAACCTCAACAATACCAACCTGACAGCCGGGAATTAGTCCCCGCCTAACCTCCGCGCACTCCTGCACAGGTGTTATCTCCATTGTCGAGACGCTACGGCAGCGGTTTCTCGGGTCTACAGCAGTAGTACCCTCGTCTTGTTGGCCTACCTCACCGTCAACACATGGGTGACCTTCTCCAACCCATCCGAGTATGTTACGCGAACAACCGACTATGCGCAAGCGCCGATCGGCGATCTGAGCGACGCGGTTCGCATCCAACTGGCGGGAAACGTCACTGACGGCTCCCATGTGTCTGAGGTACAATGGGAACGGACGTATATGGGTGTGGTTTCTCATTCAGTTGGTATTCGATTCACGGTGTACTGGGCAAAAAATAAAATGAAGGTCTGTGCATGCGCAGCAGTGCCGTGGACTTCTACTCGTCAGAGGGCGTAGATACGATGTAGTAGCTGGGACTATCACGGGTATTCGGTTTCCACATAGAGGTTATGTGGTGTCTCGAACACCACATCTCCCTATTTATTGAGTTCGGACAAACATGACTGCGTTGGAGCTACCCGAGGATGCTAGCGCCCGTGATCTCGAGTTGTTGCTCTACATCGGAATGCTACGCGGGATTAACGAGCTCGCATATCCATGGATTACCTGCGACGAACCGGAAGAATTGTCTCCCACTTGCATGCTTAGATTTGATTCCAACGAGTCACTGCCTCATACAAGTGAGGTTAGAACCTTACAAGTTGACGTAAGATCTGGCATCCTTGGTGAGTTAGAACGTCAAGCAGGGACCGAGAGTTTGCTCACACCCGAACTTTCTACGACCGGCATGGAGACCGGGATTTGTAAGGCCGTCGCAACACAGAAGGAACTGATCAAGTGCGACATCGCCTGTGATACAACGTACCCGTATCCGTCTAGTTCCTGCGTCGGCACGTACGAGGTAAAGCTACAGAAGGAGGTTGTCCAAGAATGTGTCATTATTGCTGTAGACTAATGGCTGTACTTTCGATAGCGTGCTGGCTGTCGCTTTCAACGCTACGTCTAGGCATGCGCACTGCCCACGGTAGGTCTCCGCGTGGGTACTTTGGCCCTGGCGGCTCGTCCCGGCATTTCTTCGAAGAACAGCGAGAGCAGGGCGATCGCGTTAACCTCGCGAACCCTGCGCCTGTAGTGCAAGTATCAAGGATATGCACGGACGCAACAACGTTTTGTCCGTTTTCCGGATCGGGATCGTTTCCTTTTCGTGGGCAGGGAGAAGGACAAGCAATGGCTGGCCTAGGGATAGTGCTATGTGAGGGAGTATCGGAGACACCAAGAGAGGTGTTCTCGAGGACGTACAATGGGTGGCCTCGAAGTTCGCCCAAAGGTGGATCGAGCAGCAAAGTAGCACCGACCTGTTTCATTGCACGAGGGAACCCTGATGGCTTTCTGAAAAACGTGGACGTCGAAGAAGTCCATCAGCTACTGGGCACATCTAGTGGCCGGGCTCTGATGGGCGAAACTTTCGATGGTGACCACCTTGCATGGGCGAGGGGGTTCTCTGTTGTAGACGTGATAGGTTGCGTATTGACGCTGTGGACCGTACATTTCGTGGCGGCAAACAGTGGCTGGGGCTCATTCTATTGGGCTGCAGCTCTGGTCGCCTACGCAACATGGTTGAAGGAAGCGGACGTGCACAATCTCGTCGGAATTGTAGCTGCGGTTGTGGGAGGCGTGAAGGTGATGCCAAAGAACAGAAAGTGGTCGGCCCCGCCTTTACCAATCACATTGGCAGTGATGCAAATCCTGTACGACTTATCTGTCCCACGCGTGGAGTTGTTCGGGCTGCGTGTGACGGCACTGTGGACCGCGCGGTATCGTGTGAATACTTCATGTTCGTCCTAGGGTATGAGCCAATCTACACTGGTGGGGGATTGCTTTCCCAGAAAGTGTCCTTAGCAACGGCTCTTGCGGTTGGTAAAGCGTTGAGCTGTCCCTTTGCCCTTGGGGGGGACTGGGTGCGTGGATCGAGGTGTGGTGAGATCGGGGGAAGGCTCACAGTTTCTTTCTGTCTCGCAAGTCCTCAAAATTCTGATGGATTAAGGGTCAGCCATGTGACTTCCCGTTCAGAGTTGCACACCACGTTGGAGACCGCTGTCATTGTGGTGACGGGAAGGAACCAGGATGAAGATAGCGCGGGTGCTGGGACGCAATTCGCAATATGCTACAGAATATTGTCCCCCTCCGACGATGGTATTATAGTTGTTGTGTAGCGCAGAAAACATATTGCACCAGGCAAGCAGGACGCGTCAACACTTGCCCTGCGCTTGCAGCCCTTGAGTGGTGTGAAACCTATGACAATTTCGGTCCACTGTTGATGTTGGTGCTTTTCCAGGAGAGAGAAGTGGGTGGGTGTGTGTAGCCTATGAGGCTTGCAGTAGGCCAAGCGTACCCCAAGCAGTTCAGGGGCAGCTTGGGGGCGTCGGTGGCTTGTATGGTAGAATGCCCTCGAAAAAAAAGGAGCATTACAAGTACAGTGTGACCTGCAGGGCTACAACAGGGTATGTTTGCGATGCGGGGATCATACGAGTGGGGTGTGTTCGTTCTGGTTGTTGTACATGTTTTGTTTCGCTTGGCCTTGCATATTCGAGTGGGATCGACGGTCTTCTTGTGTATGTCCTGTGTGTCCCAAGTGTCGCTTGCGGCGTCTGGCTTTTCGGGCGCTTCGATTCTGGTTTCATTCCCGTCTCAGGCATCTGTCTGTGTCTTGATTGCTCCTTAGTTTGTCAGGGAATATTCGATTTTTCATAATGTGCGATATTGTGGGGCATATTGGGGCTATTTTGGGATACAGAACGGGTTGTTGTGTTGATGCACAACCTGTTTTTCTTCGTCTGATGAGGGGGTGTACTCCGTTTGCACCCGATTGTCTGTGTCAATGAGCCAAGCAGTTATGGTTCCCTCATTTTCCTCTCTTTATTCAACACACTCAAGTCTCCATGTCGCTACATACTTGGCTCTTCTCTCCAACCAACACACAATACACGAGAGAAGGGGGAGACAATAGGCAAGAGAAACGGCCACCGCTTCTTTCCAGCCGGCAGACACAAACAAAACACCACCGAACAAATACAAAGCAAAACCGATTATTCTCAACCCAGGAGACCCTGCCACGTACACCCAGCTGACCAGTAGACAATGAACAGCGAGGCGGGGGCGAGAGCGATGACGATTTCATGCGCTGCTTGGAGCTGTAGATAGCCCCTGTCACCACCAACGAGTACCACTGTTCATCAGACACAAACAAAAACAACACCGACTATACCGAAGCAAAGCCGATTTTCCCTGCAACGCACACCCAGCTGACCAGTAGACAACGACCAGTGAGGCGGGGGCGAGAACGATGACGCTTGCATGCTCTACTTGGAGCTGTAGATAGCCCCCGTTACCACCAACGAGCACAACTGTTCATCGGTAAGTAGTGCCTTGGCCGACACGACTACGCTCCACACGCCACTCTCCATCGATTCAACTGGCACGATCACACGCTCCACAACATTGACGATGTCATCTTCACCCGATTCCCACATGGTGTACTTGGTACCGCTTGGGGCTATCACATGTAGGTCGAGGTCGTGCTGAAGCTGCGTGGCCGATAAGGCCGTCGTTGGGGGGTCGAGCCATGCGAGCGTTGCTCGGAGCTCCACTCCAGCATCCCCGTCGACCGTGACCAGCTCGGTAATCTCGCCGTCAGCGATGGCTGCTTCGACAACGAGAAGGCCGGTTACACCGACGCCGTCCATGGGCATGCCCGCCTCGAGGTGAACTCGGCCAAAGCCACGAACGCCGTTCGGTTCACTGCTGCCACCCATCAGGTGCGCGCTGTTGATGATCATGGCCTGAAGAGTAACAAGGAGTTGAGGATGGACAGACAGGTAAACATGCAGCTCAATACTGCCCTGACTTTCTCGGGGAGCTGACTTAATAAATTCTGGCCCGCACTGCCTCAACGGATAGTACAGAGTCGAGCTGCAGCGGCTCTGCTTCTGTTGATTGATCGGTACTCAATGTAATCAAACAGCTTCGCCGAGGGTGGTTCACAGAGTCATAGTACGCACATGATCGCTCGTCTCTAGATTTTCAAGTTTCGTACATGTTAGCCTCAGCTACATTGGTACATGGACTGTTCCGCCTAAAACGGTATCATAGGCGGTCCTCGAAACCTGTGGCCCCCCACACCTGACAATCAGTGTATTTGAATGCCTTTTAGGAAGTGCCTCCATGATTGATATTCCTCCCTCCCCGGCATGGTAGGGGCGCGTGAGGGTAGCAGACGGCGGTACCTACCTAGTCGGAGAAGGGATTTACGGCTTTTCTCGCACTTCAGGGAGTAAGGGAAGTTCGCCCGGTCGGTGGAAAATGGATGTGTTCTTCATCCTAAGTATATCGATGTGCGGTTCTGCTAGACTCTGAGCGAGTGACTCATCCACACTTACTCCGTGGAGTCGTTGTCTGCGAAACCTCGATTCTTTTCGTCTGGGCCTCGCCGTTGAACGGGACGACAATTTGGGATGAGGTGGGACGTTCAACTGGGCTTCCTTCGCTGATACCGCATCTAAGGCTATCATGCGACAGCCGAAACAGGTTCCGGCTGGATTATCTCTCCACGTTCTTCGTGAATCTATCTGGCATTTCACCTTGACGGTCGCCGCAGAAGGGGCGAATTCAGAGCACTGGTAGGACGAGGAATGTTCAGCACAGCCCCCCCGAGACATTACATCCTTGGCGAAAAACGACGGGTCCTTGAAGTACTGCCGAACCTATCGAACAACACATCAGAAATCAAAGGTTGAGACTCCAGGGCAGCACACCAATTTGGTCAGAAGGTGGGACGTCAAACGCAGAGTGGTACATGGGGCAGCAAGCGTAAATATCCTACCACGTTGCAGTACAATCGATCACCAACGGCAGCCAACTCGCATATCTGCACTTTGCTTCATGTGTGAAATTACCAGGGCAGCGGCACCGGCAACCAGGGGGCAGGAAGCGGAGGTCCCGCTATAGGCGACTGAACATGCGTGGGTGAAAGAGACGAACAACGACAAGAGGAGAAAGGGAAGGGATGAAGAGGGTCGTTGTCAGTGTTCAAATGTGGTAAACTGGAGGTGTCCAGGGTGTGGGCTGTTGCTCGCAAAGCCTTCCTGTTCTGCGAAATCTGCGATGCAACCGCTAGTGAGTAAAGCATTTGAGATACCATCGCGGCAACGGTTGGGAGTATGTAGCAGGTGGTGCTCGACTTACCCAGTTTGCAGCTGTGCTCATCGGTCCCGTCACTTGATGCGGAGGCCACCTGCGCGAGAAGAGGGAAAGAGAGACTGTCATCGAACTTGTCCAAAGTACGGGCTACGGATGTGTATTGAAAGCTTACTCGACATCGGCACAAACCACATAGGGGACATCAGCCACATGTGTGCCTTGCGGGTGATGACACATCCACCACCCGTAATGGTCTTGCCAAAACAAACTCGTGCCTACGCAGCATGGGTGCTATCCGATCGTCTTGCGATTTCACCTCTACGGCGTGTTGTGGGAGAAGCTACAATAGCCGGCAGACAATTGCGAAATTTCACAAACACGGCGACAGATTGCCATCGCGAAATACGCTCTAACCTGATCCCCGGGAGCAACGACGTCAGGCTTGATTCGCCCATCTAGGGTAGGACCCTGGGAGCTGAAATACGCGACAGTATCGACCCCCGCTGGCTCCGTCGATGCGGACGGCGTCCCCAGATAAGGCATCAAGCAAATCCAGGGGTATCCCTCGGGAGAATAGTCGGTCAGGCCGACCTCCTCGTAAAACAAGTTCCCGTCGTCTCCGGTTCGGGTTCCTGGAAAGGGACCAGAGGACGTGGCTCCCACAGCTAGACTGTTCTTGCCGAGGGCAGGAGATCCAACTGTGCAGGCCTCGCGGTTGGGGATGTCTTCATACCCGCCGTCGTTTCCCGCAGAGAAGATCAACAGGTGCTCGGGATTCTGCAAGAACGTGAAAACAAGAGAGGGGCGGGGTGGCGGCCGCGGTAATGTTGGAAATCCGATTGGTAATCTCCACGCTTATTGCGAGCTAGCAGCGATGGCCGAAGCTAGCATGTACATGTCCCACACTTGAAATAACAACTGCGTGCACAGTTCAGTATGACGAACCGGCGCGCGCGTGAACTTGGGCATGATCGTACTCACCTCATACATAAACATGTCGTACATATACTCCTTCTCGGTGAGTTGGCAAAGCGTAGCTCCACCCCATGAGTTGGTGTGGATTTTCGCACCCGTCTCCATCGCCGAGTACCACAAATCGTTTCCCGCCCATGAAGCATAAACTTCGGTTCCTACGTACGAAACGTCAAACACGGAGATCTGTGCCCCGGGGGCTGCACCGCCGTGTTGATGCAGATTTTCAACTGGATCGTCGCTGAGGCATTCGGAGGAAGGAATATCGGTATTCCCGTCGCAGGTGTACATGGGGCAGAAGACGTCGAGGTCGAAAGTGCTATCGTCGAGCATGGCTTCGACGTCTGAAGCCGATATGCAGCCACCGGCACACGCAGGAAGCTCGTCGCCGTAGCAAGCCTCTTCTTCGAGACTGGATTGGGACGAAATAGCCCCCGCCGCGCTACCGGCCGTCGACGTGCCGTGGCCACCAATAGTGTCTTTGTGGAACCCACCGGTGAAGGACGGTGAAGTGGAAGAAGAGGCGTACGAAGTATCATCATAGAGGTAGCTCAAGTGGTACGCCAAATCGTCAAGACCTCCTGCACAGAAGGAGTCCTCGCTCCAAGTACAGTCGTCCCCGCTTTAAAGACGCATAGCGTTTTTTTTTTTCAAAGCGTCTTTAACGCGGGGAATCGTCTTTAAGATTCCGGGGACGATAACGCACCACCCCCGGGGCCGATGGAGGCATAACATACATCAAAAGACGCGCCGTTGCAACACGTAACTTATAACGAAACGAGGATCCATAAATCTGACCGCTCACAACGTAGCCGTGGTTGAAAGTGGAATGCACTATATATATATATTTATATATTATAAACCATGTTTTAAGTTACCGCGCCACCGCCCGCAATAATATGCTCCCGACATGTGGGTTGTTGCGGGATATAGTTTTGTTATGACTGCAGTGCACTCTCTCGGTTGTGTGGCGACTGCTGCCTGCTGTGTTGTTTTTATTTTCTTCTCGTTTTCCTGATGTTGAAAACCTCACCGACACATCCTTCACCACAGCGGTTCCAACTTTGACACGATACTTCAGTATATCCTAAGCGATAGAGACACAAACACCCTACACACGAAACTCAGATGGACATCAACGCTAAATTATCGGTGAAGATGAAGCAATAAAAAAAAAGAGCCCATCGCTGTATGCCCTCCGAAAAAAAAAACTATCGCCCCCACATATCGCCAAGAGTGGCCTGCACCTCACCCCCCTGCTTCGCTCTTCGGTTGACTTGAGTTTCGTGAGTGAACGAATGCACAGTCCTCGAAAGAAGGTACAGCGTTTCGCTGTACTCGCCGTCCTTCCCTTTCGCATTCAAAAAGGAGCGGCACTCCTCGAGGCGAAAGCGGACGTCGGCCTCTGTAAGCGACGTTGTCACGCACGACTCTGACCTACCGTCGTCGTCTTCCTCTTCGCTGGGTACATCGTCATCGAGGGTTACGCCGGCCAGTTGCTCGTCTACAGCCTGCAGTTCCATTGCTATTTCTTCCTCCAACACCTCTGGGTCGTCCTCTACACTAAGCCACGTCTTTACTGCCTGACGCACTTCAGCGTCCGTGAGGCCTGAGGCTTTCTCGACGAACAAGTTGTCCGTCAACACTCGCGCCGTGGATCTAGAGTCCGTGGCGCTGGCTGGCATAGACATCTTGGAGACCATTTCGCAGAGGTCGTCGATGATGGCTCACCACACGTTGTCGTGTGGGCGGCAGACGGACCGTCAGCAGACGAAAGGAATCTATCCATATCCACGCAGTAGCGGTTGCAGCAGCAGCATCAGCAGTGGCAGACCGCTCTCTGTGCAGTTCTACAGGTGTGCTGCACGATTTTCTGGGGGGCCCCGCAGTATATAAAGTACACCCCCCCCCTCATATTGTATATCTGCGGGGCACCATGGTTCGGAATTTTTTTCGTCTTTAACGCGGGGAGTTGACTTAAGATGAGCGTCTTTAAAGCGGGGACGACTGTATCGGAGAAATACTCCCCGCTGTAGTCATCGTGCGATATGTACTCGCTGTCATCGTAGTCGTAGGGATCGCCAAAGTAGTCGCTGAAGTAGGTGAAAGAGTCTTGCCCGCTAGAAGTGCTGCCTTGGTCGGGCGTCTTGACAGCTGGATGTACTGCACGATATGTCACAACATTGCAACCGTTGCATTTGTAGGGGGTGGAAAATTGCACCGGATAGTCAGCAGGCTTGGAATTGACCTGATAAGGGAGGGGGCGAAGTCTCTTCTAGCAGAGAACTGCGCCCTGCATGACGCACGCACGACGTTTACCATGTTTGTTGAGCATGGGCTACTTTCTTCCTTCGCACGAGGACTGGGAGTTAACTTGAGGATGCAAGAATAGCGAATTTATGGAGCACCTTCCTTCAACGTTCGCACAGGAGCGCAATGCCACCGACCTCATCGAGAGTGTGCATTTTTGCCGTGAACGGAGCAATAGAAATACCATGCCACATATTTGGCTTATCGCAACAAAGTGGGCTTGAACGCGGTCACACTACAACAGAAATCGTTCGGCGTATATCACCAAATGTCCGTTGGTGCCCATCTGGTGCACATACATTACGCGGAAAGGGTCAACGTTCGAGTTGGGCGATGAGTGAACAACAGACCGGTAACACACTGGTGAACACATCGTTAGAGTCCACTTTGCTAAAGACAGGCAATCAACCCACCGCTGTGTCGCTGTCAAAGAAAACTGCGTCGATTGTGCGTTGGGTACATGTGTCGATAGGGTCTGGTGTGTATGATCTGTGTTGCTGGTAAATGCGCACGGTCTCAATCAAGAGTTCCTTTCCAGCAACACCGCCAGAAGTCTGCAAGGATGTAAGAGAACGCACGGTTCGCGCGCGTACCTGTGACATCACACCCCCGTGCGAAAACGTTTGAAAAGCGAAGTGGTTAAATTCGAGTATATCACGGGGATCGGTGATATCACACGGGGTTGTGATGTCACCGGTGCCGAGGATTCCGAGTGGTTTCGGGGCACTCACTGCACCGGAGGTACCTCGCGGTTTCATCGCGTGAAATGTGATGCTCCGAAGTAGTTCGTCCGGCGGCGTACGACCGTAACATTTTGGGTATCGCACGTATCGGAGTTTTCGCCCACCCCGTGCGATAGTGAACACAACGGTAGAGAGAGCAATGGGTCAATAGGTGGTCCGATACGCGGTATCGTTTGAACTTAGTGGTGGGATGACGAGTTGAAAGAAGAAATAGGAGAACGTGGAGGAGTCTTTAGGCAACACCTGACTGAGGGGTCCGAGCGGGGTTGGGCAACGTACAGGGCCAAGAGAAAACAGGTGCAAGGGATAGTGCAGAAAATACAGTACATTTTGGGATGAAGTAGTGCAGAAGGCCAACGGAGGCCTGGAAGGGAACGTATAGCAGAGGTTGCAAGGGAGTAGTGGAATGGTAAGAAGCCCGCGCAGGGGGGAAATACAGTGGGTAGCAACATTGCGAGGTATGAACGGTTGGCTAGTCAGCAGTGGGGACGGGAAAAGGGATTCTAGCACGACACTACAAGAGACTTGGAGTGCCGGCAGAGGATAAAGCTTTTGACCGAGTGCTTAAGAAGGAGGTGACCAGATGGGCCTAGGAAGAAGAAGAGACACCGAAGGCAGACGCTAGGAACGTAGAGCTAGAGAAGGAGTTCAGTGAGGACGAGGTTCAGAACTGTATGAATAAGCTGCAGTGCAACAAAGCAGCCGGGTCGGATGGGATAGTCAACAAGTTCATGAAGGTTGGAGGAAAGGGGTGATGGAACTGCTGTTCAACTGGGTGTGGGAAAACGAGTATGCGCCAAGTAGATGGAGGCAAGGGGTGGTTGTGGACTTGTTCGAGAAGGAAGACAAGACTGAACAAGGAAACTACAAGGGGATCACACTCTTGAACACAGTAGGAAACGTGTCCTTTAAGCTGCTGAACGATGGGATGGTTGGTGTATTGGACGAAGGCAGGATAAGCCAGGGTCAGGCAGGATTCCGAAAGAAGACGGGGTGCGTACAGTAGACCACTCATTTACGGTAGGGAGCATCATCTAAGGTAGAACGAGGGCGGGGCAGCCAACGTACTGCTTCTTCTTGGATGTGGAAGAAGCAGACGATACGGTATGGAGAAATTGGCTGTGGAAACAATTGTTGTCCGAACACGCGATAAAGGGGAAAATGTGGAGAATGTTGAACAAGTTGAAAGAGTGTACGAAATCCGCTGTCATCCCAGACGGAGAACTGAATGAAAATTCTTCAACATCGAACAGGGGTCCCACAAGGTTGTACTTTTGTCCTCAACATTGTTCCACGTGTTCATCAACGATCTGCTGAACGTTGTAGAGGCAGTTTGAAGGGGGTAAAGGTAGGGGAAACGTGGGTGTCGGGAATGATGTTTGCGGATGACTTTGTTGGGGTGCCTGGCACCCCTGAGGGACTTGAACCGCAGATTGACGCAGCGAAAGATTTTACGGACTTGTGGAGATTGTCTATCAACGTTAAGGAGAGTGCCGTCATGGTATGAAACAAGGACAGGGAGAAACCAGTAGAGTGTTGATGGAAGTGGGAGGTTGAGGAGCTTGCAGTAGTGGACCAGTACACATATCTCGGAGTAGAGATCGCAAAATAATGCTCGTGGAATACACACACATCCAAGGTAGCGGAAAAGGGCCGGGCACGAGCAGGGAAGCTATACCCAATACTCGCAAATCGGCACCTCGATACATGCATCAAATTTACAGTTTTGAAGAGCGTAATCGTACCGCCGCTGGAGTACGCCGGAGACGAATGAGAAGGAAATAACAAGGTACTCAAAAAGCTCGAGGCGGCGCAGATGAAAGCAGCAAAAACCATGCTACTGTAGGGTTCTCCAAGGGCACAAGCGATGTAGCCGTCAGGGCAAAACTGGGGATCCGATCCCTACGATCGGGAAAAGGCGCAAGGATTCTGACATGGCAGTATCGCAGGTGCGGTATGGGAGAGGAGAGGTTGCCGAGAATTGTATGGGAGGTTGGTAGTCAGCACACAGGGGTGCGATCGATTTTAAAGCGAAATTTCTCAACAACCAGGAGGGTGCGAGCGCCAACTGATACTTCTCAGGAAAGCTGTCCATGAGATATTTTCAAAACCGCCCTTTTCGACAGTGGAAACCTCCTGGTTGTGGAGGAAGTACGCTCTGAAAATTGTTCGCACCCCTTTGCGCTGACTCGCAACCTTACGTTGGATAGACGAGGGAAGACATTTTTGAACCACCGATGGCGAAGTAGGAAGGAGCGTTAGGCCATCGGCGATCGGTCCTGTGGGAACAATGCTCCGTCCTCTCGAGGACGCTATGGCGTGCAAAGCACTAGCGTACGCCCCCCCCCGCCGCGTGCCATAAAGGTTCAGGGTCGACGTGGTTTAGTTCGATTATCGCACAGGGATAGGTGATATCGCACGTACGTCAAGAAGAAATTAAATAGTAATCGATCGCACCCCCGTGCGTTTTCTCGCATCCTCACGGTAGCACGGCGCCCGACATTCCCACAGAGTACGTCCTATTGATACAAACGGCGACAGCAACGGGATGGTCTTCACGGGGCGGGGTCGCTCTACAGACATTGGCTGCATGCGGGGGCGAGAATAAGGCATTGATCCCCACAGCAATTGAATGTCATCAGGGTAGCCGCGCAAGAGATCAACACCAACGAAAGGTCCGGGGCTCCACAAAAGCACTCGAATTTCTACCGTCTCAGGTACAACGCTCCGCGGCACAACTACCACTGCCACCTCCTGTGTTTTACCCTTTCCCACCTTACGGCGTGACATGTCGAACGGGAAAGAGTAGTTGCCCAGCGCCGTCGACACGTTGCCATCGTCTTCCACTCGAACACCGTCGAACAAGAAGCCGTGCTCAACTTGGAGTCCGTCATCGTCCGCGAAGAAACACGATGT